CTGCCTTTTTTTATTTTTGCATTTGTGTGCATGTGTGCGTGCGCACACCCGTGCCTGAAAGTCATGGTGACCTCTGGAGACTCCTACTGGGGCATGGAGGATATTCAGAGAAGTGGCTTGATAGCCTGCCTCTGTATGGCACTGCCCTTTTCATATATGGATCTATGGCAATTTACAATAAAATTAAAACAAGACTGATGTCAAAGAATGACGAAGCCACCCACATAAACACATAGACTAACCGTGGATGTCGGAATAAGAAAAAAAATGGGAGAATGGTCACAGGTCTTCCACGGTGTGTCTAGTTCAGTGGGCGTACTGTGGGAGGAAAGCAGGGGGGCCCTGAGGAAATCCGCAAGCCTTACCACCTGTGTCCCCATCTAGATTTCTAAAAAACAGTCACTAAGGTGCTTTCGGTTTAGTTGGCCATCTAATCCGGTTGAGGTCAACAGGAGTTAAACAGCCTGAAGAAGTGTGCGTGGGCACAAAAGCGTATACCCAGAATTAAACTTTGCTGGCCTTAAAAGTGCCGCTGGCCTCAAACTGTGTTCCTTGAAATACTATCTATTATAGGTGCGTCATAAATCCATATGTGTGCTGGGAGCATGAATTTTTTTAAATGAACCATGGTGAAGCAGTTCTTCATAACCTCACTTCCCGACATGTTGTAGATGACGCCGCCTCATGTGGCGGCCATTTTGTGGTGGCATCCACCACCCTGTGTCAGTAGGCAACATCCCTGCTCCACCATCAAATCATTTGGAATCTTTGTTATTAAAGCCTGGTGAAATACACACGACCTACCCATAAAGAAGTGGAACTACAAACTCTTTATGTGTGTGGATCTGGTCTGTGTCCATGACTGTAAGCACAGAGCCTGGGAAATGGTAGTTATTCAGGATGAATAATAGGAGATGCAATCTTGTGTAGACATAAGATGGCTCCAAGCATCCAGCCAATAGCAGTGATCAAGGAGTTCCAGGAAAGGAAAAGACGTGCCGTATGCTGATTTGCTATATGCTAATTTTTACATGCATTTTACATTATTTCTACTACATCACACCAGCTCGCTCTCTCGCTCTCTCTTTTCCCCCTTAATTGGTGTTTTAAGAATCTAACATCCCTCCTTCACCATCAAATCATTTGGAATCTTTGTTATTAAAGCCTGGTAAGACACACACGACCTACCCATAAAGAAGCCTGAGTGGAACTACAAACTGTTTGTGTATGTGGATCTGGTCCGTGTCCATGACTGTAAGCACAGAGCCTGGGAAATGGTAGTTATTCAGGATGAATAATAGGAGATGCAATCTTGTGTAGACATAAGAGGGCTCCAAGCATCCAGCCAATAGCAGTGATCAAGGAGTTCCAGGAAAGGAAAAGACGTGCCGTATGCTGATTTGCTATATGCTAATTTTTACATGCATTTTACATGATTTCTACTACATCACACCAGCTCGCTCTCTCGCTCTCTCTTTTCCCCCTTAATTGGTGTTTTAAGAATCTAAGTTATCAAATTCATGTTGCCTATATGTAAAAAGGGGAGGGGAGGCTGCAAGGTGTAGCCCAAACTTGACAGGTCTCAGAAGATAAGCAGTCTTGGTGCTTGAATGGGAGACCACCAAAGAAGGTCTCAGAAGGTAAGCAGGGTTGACAGGTCTCAGAAGGTAAGCAGGGTTGGTGCTTGAATGGGAGACCACCAAAGAAGGCTCTGCAGAGGAAAGCAATGGCAAACCACCTCTGCTTCTCGCCTGCCTTGAAAGCCCCTTACTGGGATAGCCACAAGTCAGCTGCAACTTGACGGCTACGGCTCTTATGTACATACATGTAAAAATAGAAAAACTACTAAGCTGGTTTAGCAAAGGGATGGCTTAGGGTTCTTAAAGAACTAGAGCGTAGCACTTTTACATGGAGAGTGCCTATAAAACCCTAAGTTGGTTCTTGGGGATCCGTCCCTTGAACAGCAGCACTTTCACTGGTGTAAAGAGCCTGCTGCTGACAGGAGTTAAATATGGATCTGTGCGATCCAGCCCCCATCTCTCTTGCTCCACCTCATTCTTTTGTCTAAATTTAAAGAAACAAAGTCTGTCCTGAATATGTACTCCTGCCAGGTATGCCATATCATACACTCCCCCTTCTCCTCCTCCTCCTCCTCCTCCACCTCCTCCTGTTCCCATTCCATCAAAATGCCCTCCAGATACTTCTCCAGGAGGATCAGGACTCCTAATAACAACATGAGGGGAGATTCAAAGGTTTGTTGCAGGAGGGGGGAATAGGCTAAAATCACACACACACACCCCATTCCATCAGTGGGAAAGTCAGCAGGGTCCAACCCCACCAACCTTATAGTAGTACCACAGTAGTAGACCACTACAATATAGCACAAGCGCAGAACAAGAATATTTGGGTTTAAAATAAAAGTTAATTTTCTAAATCTTTATGTTGTTTTCTGTTAACCAAACAGATGTGAAAGGTTACATGAAACACCACGGTTATAACCAGGTAGGCCAGGCCCATCCTAGATTCTGTTGGAAAAATGAAGACCTGTGCGCTGTCCCCTGCCTCAAACTTCAGGAGGTTACCATAGATTTAGTCAGGACACAGAGCATCCTTTCCTTCCTGTTATCTGATTCTATCCCTTTGAAGTAGAAAGTTATTCTTAGGGACCTGTTTCGTTCCTTCTGTCTGGACATCTCTCTCCTGAGCACACATGCATCTCTACAAAAGAGGGAACAATGGATTCAGAGTGCCTTTCCCCTGCATCTATGTCCATCCTAGTTAGTTGGCTTAGATTAAGTCCCTATCTCTTATCTATCCTGTCTAGAATGGAGTTCCATATAATAAAATGATTCTTATTAGTTTTATAAATCTGATTACTGGCTCTGTGTAACTTTGCAAGACTGCTAGCACACCCAAAGCTTTGCTGCATGGTTAGCATAGTGCACTTGCTACTTTGATAGGTATTCCTGGCTGTATCAAAACCAGAGACTCCAACAGATCCCACCCTCTGTGGTCAGTAAATAGTTTGGCACCTACACTGGCTTCCAGGAACCCACAATATGGGAAGAACTTGACTAGTGTGAATCCAGCAACCTGTTTTCAGCACTGGCCAAATATTGACCATCCCTGCACCGGGCAACACGAGAATTGATTCATAAGTCAGTAGACGAATGTTGCACTTGTGCTTCTTGCTTGTATTTTGATGTGCACCAGAAACATTTCTTTGGCATACCCCAAGCATTAGCGCTCAAGTACTCAGCAAGCCGTTGACAGTCTTGGGAGCATCAGTCAATATATCCGGGAGACCGTAATGTCAAGTAAGACTGCCATTACAGTAATGCCATCTGTCATACGGCGCAGATTTATGGCCCACAAAAAAAGCATAAATTTGCACCAGAGGGACAGCCATATCTTAAAGCAGGTGTGAACAATTATGCTATTAAACCGCCAGACCCCTTGGAAGCAGACGGGACACAGCAGGTATTAATCTCAGGATCCAAGGGAATTGCTCCGGATTGCATAAGGGAGGCTTCATCTCCTTACAGACCCAGTTAAGTAGCATCAATACAAATATTCATTTGTCAGTGGTAATTTTACAGATGGGAGTTATCTCCTAACAGATGGTCTCCCCCCACACACACTGTTCTCTTCGTTTTCAAAGAGTGATGGGGACAGGGACAGCTGCTAACAGTGCAGAAGCCCGCGTCGTTTTGACGGCCAGCACGTTAAGAGCGTAACGGGCACATTGCTCCATATTTCCTCTGCATCTGTAGTGTGCTGGTACTGGCACCATGGGGTACAGGCTGCGGTGCTAAGCTCAGTTTCTGAGATGGGACTCAGGCAGGTACAATATTGTGTTTTCCGGAGACCAGCTTGAAAAATACCATCCTGTGATAGTTGTCGTGTGAAAGGGAAGAGTGCAAATGGGCAAGGGGGGAAAATGTGTCTGCTCCTTTCTCGGGGCTGTACAAAAAGAAAAAAAAACTGGACAAAAATTGCCTTAATTTCGCAAGAGAAGCCCATACAAGGAGGCCTGCCATTCCAGTGAAATGTTGCCATAGCTACAGCTAACAAAGCACTCTGCGTGAAGTAAAAAAAGGGGGGGGAGCACAAAGACACCTGAACCTTCGACATGCCGTGGACTGGCGATGGATGAGCGGGGTGGCCGGGGGGGGGGAGTCTTTTTCAGAGAAGGAGGGCTCGCTGTTTATGGTGTGCACACTTAATCTCACTGCTAAGGCTGTCTAGGGTTCGTATTGTTTCAGAACCTCTTTGAGCAAAAAGTTAATAGCGGGGCACACCCTGCCCAGTGTGCAAATAATTTAAGACAATCAAACCGTGTCTCCAATCTCTTTCTGCCTTCCGAAAAACTATTCTGGGTCTCAAAATTGGATAAAAACTCCATATTCCGTCACTGGATCACAGACTATCCAAGAGCATCATATTGGAGTCATGCTGGTGAAATGATTATTTGCACTCCTTCTGAGGGCCAGGCTCGGTCTGGCAGGGGGGGAGATCCATATGTCTATATTCACATTTGTTTCCATCTAAAAAGCATGGAGTGGAGGGAGGGAGTCCTGTATTAAAAACAGAGCAAGAGAGCACAAGCAAAGGGAGCTCTTCCAGCCGTAGCCTGTGATGGGGCAGAGGTTTCGCTCCCCTTGCCTACACGCTGGTCTTTGTTAGGAATAGACACATCCTGCTTTGAACCTGATCGAAAATTCTGTACCAGATTCCAAACGAAGTTTCCCACTGAACTGTTGAGTGGCATCTCCCTAGGGACGCCAAAGTCAGCTAGTTGAAGACAAATGGGTAATTCTCATTTGCACTGATCCAATAGTGAAGTGACTTTTAACAAAGGGATTGTTCAAACAAATTATTTTGAGAGCTGGCTTTCCACGCCGTAGAGTGCTTGCGTCCTACATCCGAGGCCGTGGCCAGCCATCCGCTCCTGTCTGTGAGAGCTGTAATTCTGAGACGTCCTTTTGTTTCCCTTCCAGCTCCTGCTATTGTGGTGCCACCCAAAAAAATCCACAATGTTACAGGCGCTCAAGTCTACCTGTCCTGTGAAGTGAAAGCCGTTCCAACCCCTATCATCACCTGGAAAAAGGTACGCCATAAGGTGATCCTTCGGAGGTGGCCCTTCCAAGATGGCCCCTGGGGCCATGTCCCTCAGGGAGAGGGTGCTGGATCCAGAACCAGCTGGACTTCTGGCTTGTGAGTAGGCTTCCCAAGGCTGCCTCGACAAATGCTGGGAGGTTCTAGGGGCATTGCCTGGGGTGGGTGGAGTTTGGGGACGTGACGTGATGTCACTTCCGGTCAATGTTCGAGGAATTCCCCCGAGTTCAAATGCTGAAAATCTAGGTTTATCATGTGCTGTCTTGGTAAACTCTACAGGTCATTGAATCCCCGAAGGGAGTGAAGGTCCTAGAAGAACTGCCTGGAGACAGAGTCAACATCGCAGTTCAGGTTCGGGGCGGACCTTCTAAACATGAGAGCACGGGCTGGGTTTTGGTAAGTTTGGGCATGGCAGAGTGGAAAGGCAGCTAACGGATGCTCCGTATGTCGCACAGTGATGGCGGCGCCAATGGAAAACCTTGGTCCTGAATGGAGGTAGAGGAAAGCGAATCAAAGCAAACCGGGGCTTGAGTTGACCCCTTATCCACATTGTGCCCACTGGGCTGCCCGACTGGCTAGCCCTTTCTAGTTTCAAAGCACAGTTTCCAGGCCATGCGTAGCAGATGTCAGGGAGGAGGAACTTTGTTGCGGGGGTCACAAGGATTGAGCACTTCTCCGGTGGAATTGTACCGTGGGGAAGGTTATAATTTTTTAAAAAAAGGAAAGCTAAAGTTTTCTAAGTGGTGCAGTGGCCTAGCCGTTCTCCCGAGTTTGGTGGCTCAAGGTGGTTCGCTTTTTCAAATGCTTTTCAGTTGTTTGTTTTTTCAAATGCTTTCGCTCCCCCTTTTTGTTGCCACTGTGGTATAACCACCAGCCACCCAGTGCCAGCTCACCTAAAGCAACATCCCCTGTGCAGGGACACTTTGCATAACGAACCCATACAGACTTAACAGCATACAGTACATATCACATCCATAGTTTAAATGCCTGTAATTTTTCTTGCTTTTTGAGGGTTTTGTTGTTGTAGTATTTTTCATATGTGTGTGTGTGTGCATTTGCGTGCACACCTGGAAGTCATGTCAACCTCTGGTGACTGACCCCTACTGGGGGACCTGGAGGATATTCAGAGAGGTGGCTGAATAAAGCCTGCCCCCGCCTCCTGCCTCTGGTATGCTAAGGAGGTCTCCCATCCAAGTTCTTGCCAGAGTTGGCCCTGCTTAGCTTCCGAGATCTGATGAGATCGGGCTTGCCTGGACTATCCAGGTCAGGGCATTTTTGTTGCTTGGTTGTTGTTGTTTTTTTACAAATACACTTGTTTGAGGACTTCTAGGGTTGTATGGCTGTATGGCTGCGAGAGGTGGACTATAAGGAAGGCTGAGCGCCGAAGAATAGATCCTTTTGAATTATGGTGCTGGAGAAGACTCTTAAGAGTCCCTTGGACTGCAAGAAGATCAAATCAGTCAATCCTAAAAGAAATCAACCCTGACTGTTCCCTGGAAGGCCAGATACTGAAGCTGAAGCTCAAATACTTTGGCCACCAAATGAGAAGGGATCACTCACTGGAGAAGACCCTGATGCTGGGGAAGATTGAAGGTCAAAGAAGACGGGGACGGCAAAGGATGAGATGGTTAGACAGTGTCATAGATACAACGAACATGAAGTTGAGCAAGCTCCGGAAGACAGAAGAGCCTGGCGTGATGTGGTCCATGGGGTCGCGAAGAGTCGGACTCGACTATGCGACTGAACAACAAAGGGCTGGAACAGTCAGTTGAGGAATAATCAGTTAAAAATCTTTTCCATCAATTAAAAAGGGTTCCCCAAATAGGGTCACATACCAGTTTGGTATAGGAGAGCCACTTTGGTGTAGTGGTTAAGAATGGTCAACTCTAATCTGGAGAACTGGGTTTGATTCCCCACTTCTCCACATGCAGCTGCTGTGTGGCCTTGGGCAAGCCACAGTTCTCTCAGAGCTGTTCCCTCAAGAGCAGTTCTCTCAGAGCTCTCTCAGCCCCACCTACCTCAGAGGGTGTCTGTTGTGGGGAGAGGAAGGGAGGATGATTGTAAGCCGCTCTGAGACTCCGAGTGAAGGGCGTGGTATAAATACAATCTCTTCTTCTGAAAAATGGTTGTTTGTATTTATTTATTTACATTATTTATAATCCACCTTTCTCACAGGGAGTCAAGGCGGGTTACACAGAGTGAGTCAGTACAGTCAACAAAATGGGACATTAACCAATGCATTAGGATTGTGGAAGTCTGGAACCACCAGAAAGATTTTGTAGCAGGTACTCATTTGCATATTAAGCGACACACCCCTAATGTAGCCAATCCTCCAAGAGCTTACAGTAGCTCCTGTAAGAAGAGCTCTGTAAGCTCTTGGAGGATTGGCTACATTAGGGGGTGTGGCCTAATATGCAAAGGAGTTCCTGCTACAAAAAGAGCCCAAAGTATTAACATGGCACATTAAGCGGCACAGAGACTACGTAGTAGGATCCTACTACAATATGTTATTTGAGTGTTACTACTTTAAAATCCTTAGGTACTGCATTCCCTGCACAGGAGAAAACATCCCTTTTGTGAACTTTTCTCCCTGTTTTACACATGTGGCAGTCAACTAAGAGTTAAGCTGTTGAATCACATGATTAATCTATAGGTTTCTTGAGCAGCCCTCATTTTGTGAAACAGACCTGAATCTACACAATGTAGAACTCACTCATCCACTGCATATAAACTGCATGCTAACCTTTGTTGCTGTTGTAATACTTTCCTTTGCCCCCTGCCAGATTAACCCACTGACAAAAGAAGATGAGGGTGTTTATCAGTGTCGTGCGACAAATATGGTGGGAGAAACTGAGGCAGAGGGAAGCATTAGAGTCCTGGATGCCAACAAGAAAGCGAATTTCCTGCCGTCTGAAGACATGAAGTAGCAGGTAATCTCAGTATTCCTAGTCCTCTTTGAGGCCCTTTTCACATCACTGTTCTAAACCGGATGTTATTCATTGTTGGCCCGATTTCGAGTGATACAGGACTTTGGCCCAATTTCAAGTAAAGCGATACAGGGACGGGGGTTTCAGCTGTCTCTGAAGTACTATAGTCATTTCAAACAGTGCCACATTTCCCCACCACCACCCTTTTTCGCTGCACGATCTTCCTCAGACTTTTTTTGGGAACAATCTAAGCTGAGCGCTATAGCACTAAACCAAGATAGCACTTCAGTGCTATAGCAGCATCTTTGAGATGCCTTGACTTCACTGACTCCACTGAGTCAATGGAGCCAAGGCATCTTAATGGGTTAAGACGCTGAACTGCAGGCTGTGGAAGAAATGCCTTGACTTGATTGAGTCAGTGCTTCTCAGTGGTGCCGCCGTAGCACTGATTAGCACTATAGCGCACACCTTAGAACATTATTTTTTAAAGTCCGAGGAAGATCACGTGGCCAAAAAGAGCAGGGTGGGGGGAGCGGCACTGTAGGAAGCGCTGTGGACATTTTAAACAGCACACCACAGTGATTCAGAAGCTCAACGAAGGGGTTGAAAACGGAAAAAAGCACTTTTCCCTCAAAAGCAGCTCAACCACGCTTTGCTAACGCGAGGCAAGCAGGTTTCTATGAACAGGTAAGTAAATTACGCCAGCAGCTGGTTACTAAAACGGGTCTGTCTGAAATGACAGGGGAAAATGTATTAGCAGCCAGTAAGAAGGAATAAGTATGATCAAGCACCATTCCATGTACTTTGGCTTTGTTTTGGCTAGGGATAGGGACTTGAGCTCAAGCCAAAGATTCCATCCTGGATTTCTCCCCCCCCCCCCCCCCCCCGGACGACAAAAAAGACACCAAAAAAACCACACTCCCCCCCCCCAAAAAGTGACCAAGTCAAAAGGAATTGCACAGAAATCCCACAGGGCCAGTTGAAAATAAGGAGGATTCTAGGAGTACAAGGGCACTGTGGACTCGTGCAGACAAGCTTGCTGCGGGAAACCATATCAGGATTGTTCTTTGAGTTCAGGGTGCTGGTAAGGTAAAGGTAAAGGTTCCCTTGCCTGAAAGCCAGTCAAATCCGACTCTAGGGTTGCGGTGCTCATCTCCGTTTCAAAGCCGAAGAGCCAGCGCTGTCCGAAGACGTTTCCGTGGCCATGTGGCCGGCATGACTAAACACCAAGGCGCACGGAACGCTGTTACCTTCCCACCGAAGTGGTACCTATTTATCTACTTGCAATTTCTTGCTTTCGAACTGCTAGGTTGGCAGGAGCTGGAACTAGAGACGGGAGCATCATGTTTAAAACAGGGTCCTGGTACTGACCTCTAAAGCCCACAGGACTTTGGGGCCACAGTTTCTTTGCGATCCCTTCCCCCTGTGCAAGCCTCTGCATGCTTTGAGGTCATCCAAGGAGATGCCACTTAGGAAGCCCCTGCCTTTTAACTCTGCTTTTTCCACAGGTTTGTATGATCAAACTCCTGTTGTGAACTCTGTACTGAGAATTCAGTCCCAGGCATGGTTCCAGTAGGGACCACAGCAGATGGGAAGTTTAGGCTTCAGCCTCCCTGTCCTCTGGTGCCATCTTCTTCACCAGAAACAGCCCAGGGGAGGCGCTACTTGCCCTCTTGGGGGCGCCATGTGCTCTGATGGAGTACACTTAGGTTTCCCCAGCAGGGTGAATGGCAGTCCCTGCGGCCGTTTCTGGTTGGGGAAATGGCACTGGGGAGAGGTTTGAGTCCCCTCTCTTGGCACGCCACAGTCCCAGTCCAAATCAGGCCAGCGTGTGCCTAGGATTAAGTTCCCAGCATGAAACTGACAATGTAAGTTTGATTGCAGGAATCTGGGGGGAACGTAATGTGTAGTTGGGTCCTGCCTTTATTTATTTACTTACTTCACTTGTACCCGGCCTTTTCTCCCCCAAAGGAGGACCCCAAAGCAGCTTATATCATTCTTCGCCAGTTTATCCTCACAACAACCCTGTGTGGTTGGTTAGGGTGAGAGTGTGTGGCTGGCCCCAGGTCACCCAGCAAGCTTCCGTGGCAGAGTGGGGATTTGAACCTGGCTGTCCTAGATTCCAATCTGACACTCTAAGCACTGCACCACACTGGCTGCCTTTAGAGGCAAGTGGGCGGTTTCAGGGAACAGGGCAGAGCCTTCGCAGTAGTTGTTCCTCACTATGGTTTGGATCCCTGACCTGGACAGCCCAAGCTAGCCCCCGATCCTGTCAGATCTCAGAAGCTAAGCAGGGTCAGCCTAGTATTTGGAAGGGCGGCCTCCAAGGAATACCAGGGTCGTGACACAGAGGCAGGCAATGGCAAACCACCTCTGAAACGTCTCCTGCCTTTAAAAACACAAGTCTACCTCTCCACCTAGTGGTGCAATAAGGCTAAAAGAGCTAGAACTTCTCGCTGCCAGACAATCTTAGGATCTCCTGGCTATTCTACACACAGTGCCACACGATAATTAATTAATTAATGGTTTGGATCCAGGCAGCATCCATAACTGTCTTTACTCCAGCCACACTCCTTCACATAAGAACATAAGAGATGCCAATGTTGGATCAGGCCAAAGGCCCATCCAGTCCAACACTCTGTATCACACAGTGGCCAGAAATACCAGTGCCATCAGGAGGTCCACCAGTGGGGCCAGGACATTAGAAGCCATCCCACTGTTGACCCCACAAAGCACCAAGATGACAGAGCATCACTTGCCCCAGAGTCCCAATCTATACCTTGTGGCTAATAGCCACTGATGGACCTCTGCTCCATATGCTTATCTAATTCCCTTTTGAAGCCGTCCATGGTTCTGCTTTTCCTGACTTCCTGGGGGGCGGGGGGGGAAAACAGACCGAAGACAAACAGGGAGATTAAAGAACGTGTGGAGTCCCGTGGCAGTATCCAGAGAAAAAAGACCATCCTTTATGTTGCCAAAGGACAGGGTGATAAATGGGGATAAAGAGAGCAAAGTGTGCTATGGAGTACAAAACATGGAGAAAAGGAGGAGTTAAGAGACAGGAGAAAGGTATTTGGGCAAGCAAAGGAAGAAAGACAGCAACATGAGGTGCGGGGAAGAGTTCTTAAAGAAGGGATTTGTAAAAGTGAGTGAAAAGAAGTGATCCGGTTGTTAAAAATTGGCCCTCAGAGCTCACTTGGGGGTGTTCTGCTCCCTGATTTGAAGGATTTTATATACAGGCGAGCATCCATAATATAGGTGTCTGGGCTGTCACTAGATTACAGCTTCTCCCCCCCCCTTCATCTCCCTCTAGGATGAAGCGATTTAATGACTTCTGAGAGAATCCCAGCCCAGCCCAGCCCAGCTGATTTTGCTGTCTTACTTGCAGAGGATTCAGACACCGGCTTGATCGTTGCTCTTACCAATGTACTGCAGGTTGTTTTTTTTCTGATTAATAATGTAGTTGAGAATGCAACAGCAACGCTCAATAAAGCATGGGGTTTTTTACCATTTTAATCTGTTTCTTTTTATTGGCATAGGCCTAGACTCACAGCAGTCTACACCTAGATATAGAGCACCGGATGACATCCTTGCTTCATAGCAGCACGACAGACGCAAATATCAACAATAAGCCCTTCCTCTATTTTTTCAGTGAACTCTTAAATGATTTAACGGCATTTTCATCCTGCCTTTCTCGTCCTCCCTTATTCACCCCCTCCTCCATTTTATCCTCACAACAACCCTGTGAAGTAGGCTAGGCTGAGAACGAATGACTGGACCAAGGTCCCCCCAGAACAAGAAACAGAATCCCATGTATCTACTAAAGGCCGAGTTCCGTGACAAAAACCCATAGGGTCTTATTGAGGTTAACTGATGTGGTTAGTCCAGTCACCATTAGTTAGCAGAGCGCTTAAATAAAGCTACAAACGCAGCAGTGTCACTTTACCAGGTTGCTCAGCTTACAAAGCTACACAGAGCCACATTGCAAGTTTAGAAGGGAAATACTTCTCTCTTTATTTGAGAAGTATACTTTGGATAGGAAAGAGTAGGGACATGATAGAGTACTAACTTAGAAGCTAAAGGATGGAAGCAGATGGCGAGAGGCCCATCTGCCTCGTGGTGCCAAGAGAGTGCTGCATGCCTCTCTCTTGGCGCTTGCAGGAAGAAAGCTTGTCTTCATCTGCATGTGAGAGAAGAAGGAAGGGGAAACGGTCCCTGAGAGCACAATCTGCATTTCAAAGGGGACAGTGGCAGAAGAGTAAAGACAGCTATCTAGTCTCTCTTGCCACTCAGTCTGGAGGTCTGAGACAGGGGACATTGCATCTGGAACTTCCAACAGATCTTAGATCAATTTTGCAATTATCCATCAGCATATGTTTGCAAAGCCTTTAACTTGATGCTTGTTATCCCAAAAGGGAAACCTACCCCAGTAGGGGCAGATCACTAGCGTCACCTGACAGGGAATGAACTGCAAAAACTGTTGCATTCTAGTTGCATTCTACTAAAATCTGCCAGCTTCTATTTTCCTCCCATGTCTGTCTGGGCATCTGTCCTCCTTAGCAGGGGGAGATAGGCAGATTCAAAGGACTGCACCTCGTCAGTGAGATATGCAATGTATGATATCTTTTGTAATGTGTTAGCTATAAGAGAAGTTAATTCTGCCAACACAAAAAAGTAGGGTTGCCAAAACCGCCCCCAGGTTTGGCAGGGGTCCCCCGCTTTGGGGGGGCTTGTACCCGCTGCCGGCCAGCTGGCCGCCAGGGGAAGCCCTGCCCCCCAAGCCCCAACACCTGCAGCCACCCCTCTCCCAATGCCCCCCAAAGTCCCCCGCTGGGGGTGAAGATAGGACTTGGCAACCCTACAAAAAAGTCTTGGGTGTCAAGTCTGCATTGCTGTCTCCTTCTCAGGAGGTTGTGTGTGTTGTGTAGAGGTCGCTGGCGGTTCTTCCTCTTGAAGCAGACTAAAACGTACTTGGATGCTGGCGAGATGCAATTTATTTATTTATTTGATTATATTTATACCCCGCACTCCCCGCGAATGGGCTCAGGGCAGCTTACACAGGCACAAAGTGCGTACAAGAGACTCGAGGGGATTTATAAAACGATCCATCTTAGCCTGCTTTAGTTTTAGGGCCTCATCAACTGGGGAAGGGCGAGACCTTTTCTTACCCACAGCTACAGAGACTTTATGCCCCTTCCCTCAGAGACTACTACAACTCTGGCTCTTGGAAAAACCTACCATAAATATTTCAAGGACACCTCCCCCGCAGCCCGAAAGAAAAATATACCCAGAGACCTGGCTGTGACATCTGCCACCCCCACTGATGGCCAGGGTTGATTCTGCTGATCTGGCTGGCTAGACGGGTGCCCCCTGCCTCCCTCACCACTCCATTTGCATTCCCTCCCGAAGCTGAGCACTCGGTGGAAAAGGACAAGCATCCCAGACAGGAGTGTACCATTCTTCGGTCAAGGGTATACAAAAATCCCATGTAATACCTTTTATTAGGGTCACCCACAATGACATAAAGCCTCGTGTAAGAGATTTTGCTTATCAGAATTCTTCGTAGGGCACCCTGACCTGGAGAGCCCAGGCAAGCCCGATCTCGTCACATCTTGGAAGCTGAGCAGGGTTGACTCTGGCAAGTACTTGGATGGGAGACCTCCTTGGAATGCCAGCAGTCGGGAAGCGGGGGCAGGCTTTATTCAGCCACCCCTCTGAATATCCTCCAGGCCCCCAGTAGGGGCCAGTCACCAGAGGTCGCCACGACTTCCAGGTCCACAGACACTCACACATGCACATATGAAAAATACAAAAAACCTCCCTCTACATAAAGGCTAGATATTGCAAAAAGGGAAGGGGGAAAAAAAAGGTTTTTCCAAGTCACCTAGCAAGCTTCAAAGACATGTGGGGACTGGGCCCGGTCTCCCAGACCCAGCTCCAAGACTCTGACCACCACATCAGCTCCATAGCCGTGGAGAAGCTATGGCCGTTTTAGTTTCTGATTGGACCCAGGGCGTAGGAGCTTCTGTGCTAGATTGAGCATATAATAGCACAAGAGAACCAGTGTGATGTAGTGGTTAGTTCTGGATTAAGATCTGGGCACCAGTGTTCCCTCTAAGCTGAGTTAGTGTGAGCTAGCTCAGAGTTTTTTAGCCTTCGGCTCACACATTTTTGTCCTAGCTCAAGAAGGATGGCTCCAGTGCAAACTAATTTATGCAGCAGCCAAATTGCTCGCTCACAACCTTAATGCCGGTAGCTCAGAAAATAGAATTTTTGCTCACAAGACTCTACAGCTTAGGGGGAACATTGCTGGGCACCCCAGGTTCGAATCCCGCACTCGTGCCATGGAAGCTCGCTGGGTGAACTTGGGCCAGTCACGCACTTTCAGCCTAAACCACCTCACAGGGCTGTTGTGAAGAAAAAATGGGAGTGGAGAACAATTTCAGTCACTTTGTGTCCCCATTGGGAAGAAAGGTGGGATATAAATTATATAAATAAAATAAAAATAATATAAAAAGAGATTGCTTTTTTCCTCTAGATGTAGCCTCCGCCTAACACGTAAAATCCAGATTTTTTTCCCCCAGTTCCTTTCTGTCTCCCCTGGGAAAAGCATCACTGGCTTAATTTCTGCTGAGCTAAGATGCTGTTCAAAGTATAGAAATAGAGGCAGAAAGGAAGGATAATGGCCCCAATTAACACTCCTTCTGATAAGCCCAGCCATTTGGGCATTACAGTAGCATCCCTTGAGATTCCGTCTTGCCCTTTTCACTCTGTGCATTGCCCATCCTACCTGACACAGCCATAGCTAATGTAGACAGCACAATTTTCTAGCAATCTGCTGCCTACCTTCCTAAGAAATCTGTATGACAATCCGCCAAACTATCCAGAAAGAGACAATCGCTGGTTGCTGCTGCCCCCTGGTGGCTCAAATACACTCAGACACAGCACAATTGCTTGTCGGCTTTAAAAAGCAATTGTGTTTTAACTGCTCCGTAATGGGTTTCTGGCTGTTTTACTGTCACTATAGTAATGAATCTTGCATGACGGAGCAATCAGAAAGGGGGAAGGGAATGTATGTGGTCGAGACACTGCTCTCTGAAGGCCCACTAATAAGATTGCCAGCATTTTAATAGCATCAGAATTGCTTTGCGGAGTCAGACCGATGTCTTGAATCCAGTGACAAGCCAGATGCTCTGCAAGTTCACAAGGAGGGCATCAAGGTGGCGGCCTTCTCCTGTGTGTCCTCCAGCACCTGCTATTCAGAGGTACCCTGTCTCTGAATGCAGAAGTTCCATTTAGATAATATCACTGATTATGGTGACTGGTGCCTATGCCAAAAAACGTAAGTCCACTGGCACTGGCCAAAGCGACAAAACCAGGGAATCTCTATTTACTTGTGTAAGTGTACACACAAAAAATAACATTGTTCAACAGATTGATGAAAAAAGGAAAACATGTACACACACACAAATCCTAAGAACTGAATGTGTCAGTTAAAGAAAAAGGGGGAGAGGGATAACTAGCCTGCTTAAGGGCCCAAGAGTTTTTAGAATCCTAGAAGCGAAATCTCACACTGATGGAACTTCCAGATCGCTTCCTTGCCTGCCGTTCCTCACAGCCCCCATCCACTTGTTCCCTCTAATAAGCAAAAAATCGTAACCTGTGCGTGTCGCAAAGGAAACCACCTACAAAGAAGGTAGGGATTTTATATTTTTTATTGCACACGGTGGGGATGATTCTCTAGATATGCAGCATAAAATCTGCCACTTGAAAACACAAATAGCCCAGTAAGGACTGAGACGCTTGCTGCCTGTGGAATGCTGAGAGCAGCTGAACCAGGCAAAGGAGGGAGGGGGGGGGGAACAGAAGATGGGGCCCATAAGAGTTTACGGTATCAGAGTGAGGTAGCTGGATCTTGCACTCTGCACCGCTCCCCCCACCCTGCCAGTTTGTTCCATATATCAGCAAATTTCAGGGGTGAGTATACACCTGGGGATTCCCCAGCATCCCATTGTTTAACTAGAAGAAGAAGAGATTGGATTTATACCCTGCCCTTCACTTGGAGTCTCAGAGCGGCTTCCAAACTCCTTTCCCTTCCCCTCCCCACAACAGACACCCTGTGAGGTGGGTGGGGCTGAGAGAGCTCTTAACAGAAACTGCTCTTTTTCAAGGGCAGCTGTGCCAGAGCTTGTGACTGATCCAAGGTCACATCAGCAGGTGCAAGTGGAGGAGTGGGGAATCAAACCCGGTTCTCCCAGATTAGAGTCCGCACACTTAACCACTACTCCAAACTGGCTCTCTAAACTAAAAAAACAACCCTACTATCTCCTCACATGGAAACAAATAAAGATGGACCGTGATAGCTGCTCTCCAAGAGACATGAAATACTGATGACAGCTCAGGATCAGTTAAAGGGAGAAGGGGGGAATGGAGAAGAAAGCTACGGTAGACATCCCTTCCAAAGAGCGTAACAAGGGAGGCATAAAACAATCCCATCTCACACCGTTTCAGGTTCAGGGCCAGCTGAGCTCCTTTCCCACCACCGACGCCTGAATCTCCGAGGTAAGCTGATAAGGGAGCAGATATTTAAGAATGCCGAAGGGCTGCAATTTGGGGCTAGCTGAGCTATCCCAGGGCTCAGCAATCCTGTGCTAGAGGGAGTTCCCAAGAGATTATCTCACCACAGGCCCCGCTCCCACTATTCTGTCTCCTGTGAACAAGAGACGATCAAGAGCAGAGGGGGGGGGAGTCCAGCATACTGGATTTTATCTAAATATTTCAGAACACTCATTTCAGAACAGACAATCCACTTTATTTCAGCCATTCAAACATCACACGAGTCTTCACGAGACACATTTAAGACAAGTCGACTGACAACCGCGTCACTGTGACAGCTCAGAGGTAGCGCCATTCCAAAGCACTCTGTTTAGCATTTTCCTCCACATCAGGGTGGATAAGACCTTTGAAGCCAATACCAGCATAAAGAGGCTTCATTCTGACACACGGAGAGAACCGAAGCGTGCTCCAAAAGTCTGATGAGGAAAAAAAAGATAACATTCTTTTCTGGTGTTCACCAGCTTCACAATCATCGTTGCAAGAAATGCTTCGACCAGTTTGACAAAACTCGCAACAGCAATGCAGCTTCGTCTTCCATTCACAGGCCATCCGCAAAGCCCTTCTCATATGCTGTCCAGCTTCTTTAAGATGTAGGGAGCTGAAGAAAGAGACACATCACTTTAAAAAAAAAAGCCATCTAAGCTAGTGGACAACATCAACGATGTGCAGTATCATGTGCAGTATCAAGTTGGTTGCATTCGGCACTAACTGAAAGCTTTTGAACCTTCAAGGCTTGCATATATCTCAGTTTTCCCCTAAATTTCCAACACCCCCCCCCCAAGAACTTTGTTGAAGGCTTTGTATCTCTAGCCATTCATACTATGCATGCTACACTGTGGAAAGAAGACTCCAGGGTCAAACAGATTGCAGCTGGCCACAACAACCAGCCAAAGTTTGTGATCACCTTTCTTGGGAGAGGGGTCTTGTTTGTGACATCACACTGAGCTTCCATAGCACCCCAAGCATCTCTGCAGTCCAAACCTTGGGAGGACCCCTCTTACCCCCTCCAACATCAGGAAGAGGGCAAGAGATCCCGTTCTGCTTTGCTTCTTAAAGACTCACAACATTTGTGGCAGGTATTCTGAAGAAGTGAGCAATGACTCACAAAAGCTCACCCCCTGCCACAAATTTTTTAATCAAGGTGCTACTGGTCTCTTCCTCTTTTCTACTGCTGCAGACAGACTGACACGGCGACCCGTCTTGATTTATCTGAAGAAGAGAGCAGTAACTCACGAAAGCTCATCCCCTGCCACATATTTTGCTAGTCTTTAAGGTGCTCCTGAAAAACACAAAAAGGCTCTACATCTGACAATAGGACTACAGATAAGATTAGAATTTCAACAGCCAATCCACATGCAAAAGAACCTCCTCAGGAAATAGGAAACATCACACCATGTTAAGATCATGTCTAAAATAGAATGGACTGGGTGACAGATTCCTGTTTCCACATTTTAAAAACTCCATACCAACAAAACAAACAACCACAGCAAGAAGACACTTCTCCCACCTCGCCCCTGGCTCACCATGCTTTTTATTTGCAATACATGGACTTTTAAAAACAGAACCTTGCATCTGCAGTCTTGACTGCCACCCAGTCCAAAGATCCCACATGTACGGGTCATGTCTGAAATGCACTAGACGACCCTACCCACACTTACACACCAGTGTGCAATCCTTCCGGTCTAAAGTCAAAAAAAGTAGCAAGGTGTCATGTTAAAGTACCTCTGCAGCATGCATCACCCGTGGGGGAGATGAGTTCTCTGTGGCAATCTGGAAGGCTTAACACTCTGTCAGTTTTCTGAAAAGCGAACGAGGCTGGCGGTAGCCCCGGACCTGCCAGAGATGCCACCTTCTCTCCACTGCCCTGAGGTCGGCGCCTTAAAGGTCCGCGACCTGCTTTGAGAAGGCAACTCCAGCATGACTCCAAGGCAGGGTTGCCAGCTCCAGGCTTGGAAATACCTGGAAATTTGGGGGTGGAGCCTGGAGAGGGCAGGGTTTGGGGAGGAGAGGATCCTGAGCAGGGTATGTCTTACAGCCCACCTTCCAAAGCAGCCATTTCCTCCAGGGAAACGGATCTCTATAGCCTGGAGATCCTTTGGAATCCCAGAAGATCGCCCAACCACCACCTGGAGGCTGGCAACGCTACAAGTCCAAGGCAACCTACGCCTTTCTCTGCACGTGTCAGGAGGCCGTGTCTTGCGCATGCGCTCCGCCTATTCCCGGTCAGTGGCAGCACGCAGGATACTCACTGAGCCGAAGCACCGCCACGTAGATGAGAAAGTTGCGGACCGAGGAGAGAACGTCCTCCCGCATCTTCCGCTTCAGCTCCTCCGGGTCCAGCTTCGGCCCCAGCCCTTCGATGCGGAACATCCTCGAGCCTCCTTCCCGCTCCGCAGTCCCTTCTGAGTTCCGCACGTCCCGCAGGAAGCTCCAGGCTGTTCTTCCCCTCGACGCCCCGCCTCTCTACGGGTCCCCGCTGTGGACATACAACGCGTTTCTTCTCTCGTCACCCAGAGCGAGAAAAAGAGGAAGGCGGGAGGAATGACTGTAGAGTTACACATTAAAAGAGCCTCTATCGACACTTCCGGTCAAAAATTGAACCGACTCTCCACTCTGACTTCTATGGCAAAAAAGTATATCGCCTTTTCACCATCGAGACGCCGAGGGAGGGAGTGGTACCGTGGTGTCTCCCAAGTCGGTGCCATTCTTGGCACAGTCATCCTCGTCTAAATCCGGTGGCAGTAGTGAAGTCAATGAGCAACCACGTGGCTCAGTTACCCCCCCCCCAAAAAAAGTAGAAGCGAAAACAAAAGTTATTCATTATTGTGGGGGGATTTGGAGGATTTGAAGTTTTTTTTAAAAATCGGATTGACTTGCAAATCTTCCTTGCACCAGGAGGAAGCAAATAAACTGTCCAGTATTCTTGTTTCTTACCCATATCTTGGGGATCATCACTATTCCATCAGTGGCTATTAGCCACAAGGTATAGATAGGGACTCTGGGGCAAGTGATGCTCTGTCATCTTGGTGCTTGGGGGCGGGGTCAACAGTGGGATGGCTTCTAATGTCCTGGCCCCACTGGTGGACCTCCTGATGGCACCTGGTATTTCTGGCCACTGTGGGATACAGAGTGTTGGACTGGATGGGCCTTTGGCCTGATCCAACATTGGCATCTCTTATGTTCTTATGTTATGTTCTTATCATATAGTGAGGCTGTGAAAAAGCATGTTCATATTGCGGGGTGGGGAGGAGACGACCCTGACAGCACTTTATAAAACGCTTCGCAATGTCGTATAGCAGACACCAGCGGATAGGGTTGCCAGCTCTAGTTTGGGAAATTCCTGGAGATTTGGGGGGGTCGAGTCTGGGGACGGTGGGGGTTGGGAAGGGGAGAGACGTCAGTGGTGTATAATGCCATAGAGTCTACCTTCCGAAGCAGCCGTTTTCTCCTGAAGAATTGTTCTCTGTTACTTGGAAACCAGTTGGAATTCCAGGAGATCTCCAGCCGCCACCAGGAGACTGGCAACTCTCTACCAGCAAGAGAACATTTCAGTCTTCTCTGTTTCCAACCTGAAAGCCATTGTTCTTCAACAAAAGAACCTTGAGGGGGGAACTTCAATGTGAAACTCCTGGACTGAGATTTTAGGCTGAAGAGAATTGTTATTCCATAGGCCTTATCATTGCTGGTTATCTTAGCAAAACCTGGGGCTCTCCCATTACAGTTGTTAACCAGCTCAACACAACTAGTAAAAGATCTATCCATTTTTTCTTAATTAGATTTGAATTTTACATAATTACATTTCACCCTGTCCTTCCTTGCAATTTCATGGCCTTTTGACCCTGCCTCCCAACACCCCCAAACCTCCTACATGCAAATGACTGCATACTAAAAAAAATCACTCATTGTATCTGAAGAAGTGGGCTATAATCTATGAAAGCGTATGCTTTAAGGTGGGACTGTTTTAGTGTACATGGCTACCCATGGAGCCAGCTTATACTGAGTCAGACGGTTGGTCTAGCATGGTCCCTGCTGTCAGATCTGGCCCACAGGAGCTCTCCAAGGTCTCAGGTTAAGTCTTTCCCATTATCTTTTAATTTTTTTAACCGGACATGCCAGGTATTGAACCTGGGACCTTCTGCATGCCAAGCTGATGTTCTGCTGCTCAGCCACACAGCCCCGTCCATAGTACCCTGGAATGTAGTCCAGTGTTACATCCACAAACTGGAGGGTGCTGAAAGCGTGTAGAGGCTGGTTCAAGTAATGTAGTCTAGAGTTGCTCTTCCCATACTGTCCTTCCTTACAGGTGTATCCACACTACTCAGTTCCATTCACCAGCTGAGAATTCTGCAGACTCACCCTGATTGGCCCTTGTTAAATGTGGTTCCTTCACTGGGGCAGGCCATTGGCCAAATCTCCAAGAAGTAGATGAGGCTAAAGGAGGTTCCAAATTCTGCACCTCTGAACTGAAGGGAACTGAGAAACTGGCTTACTGCTTGTTGAAAGTAGTTTGGTCATGCTGTTTGGCCCCTTACAATGTAGACCTGTTCTCTCCAGGGTAAAACAAATCGTTTGTTTCTTTCCTGTGACAAATTTTGGAGGAGCCTTCCTTTAGGACCAGCGGGTTTTGTGTTAAAATAAGATGCTAAAAAGATTTTCTGAAGTTATGTGAACTGCTTAAAGGGGAAGAGCCATGGCTCAGGGGTAAGGCCTCCACTCAATATGCAGAAGGTCACAGGTTCAATCCCTGGCGTCTCCAGTAGTAGATGATGGGAAAGAGCCCAACCTGAGATGCTAATGAGCTACCACCACTCAATGTAGACAAAACCGATGTTGGTTGACCCATGGCCAGATTCAGTATAAAGCCGTTTCGTGTGACTGCTGTAGAAAATTCATGCTTCAGGTCTACAGAAGTCCACACATAACTTCATTCAGACATTTACATCCTGCTTGTCGCCCCACTGAGGTCCGAAAGCTGCTCACAACATTGCTCTCCCTGCTCCCATTTTATTGTCACAACAACCCTGTGAGGTAGGTGAGGCCGAGAGGGAGAGTGACAGGCCCAAGGTCACCCAGCAAACTTCCGTGGCAGAGTGGAAATTTGAATCTGGGCCTCCCAAATCCTAGTCCAACACACTCAAGCTATTCAAAAACTACTGGGAGGAAGAAAAAAAAACATGCTGGGCCCAAGCCAGAGGATAGCAGGTGTATAAAGAAGCCTGAAAAGACAGATGGGAATCCTCCAGACCTGCTGGCCCATCTGTCAACTGAGCCAGAGACAACAGAGAAGGAGAGCCAATTCCTTAATGCCGGTAACCTTGAACTGTGGCAGAGGACACCATCGTATCCCAGTGTGATTGCTGCTAGGTATCATCATGGTATAATTCCATTTGAGACGCAGTGTACATTTCCTTTCTTCCGAGGCTGGTGGCAGCATCATTAATGGAACAGCCATTCTGCCTGACTTACGATGACATCTGTGGCTGCACTGCCGGAAACCTCTATTTCCTAACATATTTGTTGACTTCCGTCTGCATTTCGGCTTTCCTCTCGAAGGGAGAAGTGCATTTTTCAGGTCGCTCTGCTTCTTCTACCCCTGCTCCTGTGCATTCAGCAGCAGTGCGGTAGGTGAAGCTCTTCCTGGCATGGAGATAAGTGGAGCGAAAAGACAGAACCCACTTCCTATCGGGCAGCTCCTAAAGGCACGTGAGGGGTGTGAGAGACAAATGCTGTAAACCTTCCGAGGGAAAGCAAAGCAAGTACTGGCTCCCCACTTGCTCCTCCCAGAGGAAACTTTGGTTGGACTGGCAGGGAAGCTCAACAGCAAATGCACCCAGCTCCTGGTGTTGACTGCCAAGGCGCAGGTCAGCAGGCAGGGGTAGGGAAACTCCTGGAGCTTTGGGGATGGAGCCTGGGAAGAGCGCAACTTTGGAAGGAGGAGGAGGAGGAGATTGGATTTATACCCCACCCTTCGCTCGGAGTCTCAGAGCGGCTTACTGTCTCCTTTCCCTTCCCCTCCTCACAACAGACACCCTGTGAGGCAGGTGGGGCTGAGAGAGCTCTGAGAGAACTGCTCGTGAGAGAACAGCCCTGAAAGAACTTGTGACTGACCCAAGGTCACACCAGCAGCTGCCTGTGGAGGAGTGGGGAATCAAACCCAGCTCTCCCAGATTAGAGTCCACGCTCCTAACCACGACACCAAACTGGCAGCTCGGGCTCAGCAGTGAGTGGATGCCATAGAATCACCTGAAGATGTCATTCTCTCCAGGGGAGCTGATTTCTGTAATCTGTAGGTCAGCTGTAATTCCTGGAGAGCTCCAGGCCCTACCTTGAGCCTGGTAACCCTAGGCAGGTGTGAATGTAACTTAAATTTCTTATCAGTACTGTCTAGGGCCCTAAGGTGGAGCCTGGAGTCCCCTCAGAACTACAACTGTCCTCAGACTACAGAGATCAGTTCCCCAGCAGAAAATGGCCTTTTCAGAAGGGGGGGGGTTTCTATGGCCGCCCATCCATGCTGAGCTCCGCCCCTTCCCCAAACTCCGCCCTTCCCAGTCTCCACCCCCAAATTTCCAGGAATTTCCCAACCTGGAGTGGGCAACCCAAGCTCTGCCTCTCTCAGGGGTCTCAAAGCACAAGAACAGAGGTACCACTCGGTCACTTTCCTACCAGTCCTCCGTACCAACCTGTACCCCTATGGACTGCTCTCAGCCTCCCTTCCCACGGGCTTCCCACTGCCTTGGGGTCCCTCTGGGAGCAAAGTCATGGAAGTGCTTGGTCACCATTGCACACTTGTGCCAGGCTCTTATAGGAGGAGAGAGGAAGTCTCGAGTACCCAGGGAGCAAGAGCCACACATTGGCAATTAGTGGTGATCTATAATTCATTCTTCAGTTGTCAGCACTTGGAAGCACTGTGGAGCAGGCAGAGCTCTTGGGAGTGGAGGGTGGAGGGGCAAGGAGCACCGACAGACGGTACGTGTTTCCATGGCAAGCGGTTTTGATCCCTTCCACATTGAAAGGTGCTTCAGGAAAAGACAGAACGTTTGAGGATCCGGTTAATAAAGGAAGCGGGATTGTTGGAAATCCCCCCCCCCCCCAAGAACAGATCGAGGCTACCAAATAATACTTTGCATTAAAGGCCTGGTTATTTTTACTTCCATGGTCAATATTAAATACAGTCTGTGAAAATCTGTTACACGTTCGCGGAAGGAAATTGGAAGTCTCTCTGTTCTTCTGTGCCTCGCCCATCTTTTTTGTTTGTTTTTTGTAAGAAAGAGACAAACGTTTTCTATGAAAAAGCTGTGTTTAGTAATTGAATCTAAATCTTCTCACAATGCAAGAGGGTTCCCGGAAGAAACTGCAGCTGACGTCACAGCCTGTTCTGTTTGTAATGAAATCCCTCCAAAGAGCGAATTGCAGCTGACTTTCTCCCCGCCTTGGGAGGGCAGTGGG